TATTGGTCAGTTTCCCTGATTTATTTCACTGGATTTCCAACAAATGTATTCCATGGTTCTGTGTTCATGATCCATGCCAAAACTACCATCAAGTCCCTCCAAAAGTACGTCTTCGAAAGAAAATTCAAAACCTTTTTTTTTTTTTTTTAAATATTGACAAACCAATTCTAGATCCCATAGCAGCTCTGCAGGGATTGACAATCCAGTTGCAGAATTGTTGGTCTCTTAACAGGAGCTATTCTAGCCTTTGCCAAAATCATTGAGACTTTCACTTCTAACCTTCCTTCACAGCATCGAAAAGCACAGCAAGCATACCCTTGAAATAAAGCATTAGTAAATATGTGTAAGATAACCATTTTAAAAGTTCTATGCATTATCCTTCGAGGAATTCTACAATTCTCAATGAGATCTATATGTTTAGCCCATCTTCAACAATGTAATTGCAAATCAGATGGCAACTCCTCATCCCAGTCCAATTTATTTAGCCAGGTTCTTTGAGTAGTAACTTTGGCAATAGTGTCACAGGTGACATAGCCTATGGCATCACATATGCTGTTAACAATAGAAAGTAATATTTTCTTCATAACAACTTCACTAAATTCCATGTCAGCTTGAGAACCAATGCAATAAAGTTCACTGGTCTCTGTATCTCATTTAAGACTAATTATGCTTTGACTTTCCTGGCACTAAACTATGGTATGATCGCAACATTTTAGTTCAAATGATGCTTCATTCATTACTTGTATAGCTTGAGATTTCAACTGCTCCAGTTCTACATCATTAAAACTCGTGACTAGGTTATCAATTAAAAACCTTCTCTTGATTTATTAATTGTATTTTGAAGGTTTTCTGTCTGGAATTTCAGCAAACCTAAATGTTATTTTACTGTAGCATTCAGAAGAAAAGGACTGGAAGAGATCCCAAAAGTCACTCAGGAATGTCTATAAACCTTAAGTTTGGCACATTCAGCATTTTTTCTCAACAAGAACCTTGGTATATCTCTGTCTTCGATCCTAAAACCTATTTGCAGAAAAGCCTGTCGTACGTCAGCAACTACTCCCTAGGTACTTAAATGGAATCTTCTCAGTAGTAGGGATATCTGATGCATCAGACTTGGTCAACACTTAAACACAGTGTTAAGGACACAGATCCAGGTGACTTGAAAGAAGTGTCGAACATTAGACGAACCTTCGTAGCACTGCTGGATGGCTTAATAACAGGCTTGTGAGGAAGATAATGAGCAAGCTTTCGAAAGCTGTTTCATTGGAACAGTTTCCATAATGCCTTCTAATTTCCACTGCTGGAATACAGAATCATAGGCTTTAACGTTTTTGTTTTAAAAACATTTTGTTATTGTCCAAAGTCATGGTTCTGCTATGTTGTTCTTACAATAAAGAGTAGGATGTCCAGCTAGCCACAGCAAAGCTACTTCATAATGTTGATTTTCGCATGTCTTTAAGGTTTTTCTGAAATGGATCAAAATTTCTTTTCAAGAAGGATCTTATTTTTCCCCCCCTACAGGATCTATAATGCCCAAAACTTCTAAATCTCATAGCTTTGACAACTCAATATTTTGGAGGTTTAATGGTACCAAATTAACAACCATTTTTTTTTTTTTTCCTAGTCTTAAAATTGTCCAACCTCGTAAAGTCACTATGGCTGAAACTCCAGATGTACCTTAGTTGTTCCAATGCTTCCAAGTATGTCAGCTCCTAGAACTCTTACATGTGGCATAGCTCTTCCAACATCTATCAGTTTTGTCCTTCAAAAAGCAACATCAAAAAGTAATGTTTGATCACATATTCTCAGTAGCGTTGAGAAAATCTTCAGTTGATCGAGCAGAGACATTGATATAAAATACATTAATCTGAATTTTCAATAGTTATTGCATATCTATCATGATCAGCAGCCAAAGATATAACTCTGTCAAACTATCCTTGAGACAACACTTCTTTTCTGGAAAGAGAAACATTTAACTCAGCAACTGAGTTCTTGATATAAAAACAATGAGATCCATCATCCACTAATGTTCGTGCACAGATTTCCTTAACCCTGTGCCATAATCTGATCATGATTGTGTTCAAATATATTTCATGTTCCAAGGGAAGATTTGTCAAAAGAGTCTGTAAATTTTTCTTCATCTGTCCCTTTGTCCTTTGATGAGGAATCAATATCTTTGTATAAATCTGGGCAAAGTAATGCATAATGCCTCCATCCACAAATCAAACATTTTATGCTACTGTGACAACTTTTTGCCTTGTGATTAGGCTGAAGGCAAACAACAAGGCAGCATTTCTGTGGCATAACTTGGGACTTCCTATCATCGTAACTCATTAACAATTTTTTACAATCCTGACTTGGATGAGGACAGTCACAGAATGCACAACAAACTTTTCTTGCAGATGTGTTTGAAATTAGAGTAGCAGCTGTAGGTTCATCTTTGTTGAGCTGGTCAATGTTATTACATATCTAATGTTCTCAGCAGCAAGAGAAATAACTCCAAACTGTCTTTGAGACAACACTTCTCTTCCAGAAATAGAAAGATTTAATTCAGCAACTAAGCTCTTCTCAATATAAGAACAATGAAATCCATCATCCATTAATGTTCACACACAGATTTTCTTAGCCCTGTGCTATAATCTTACCATGATTGTTTTCAAATGTATTTCATGTTCTGAGGAAAGATTTGTCAACAGTCTCTGCAGATTTTTGTTTTCCATCTGCCCCTTTGTCCTTTGATGAGGAAACAATACGTTTGTATAAATCTGGGCATAATGCCTCCAACCACAAATCAAACATTTTATGCTACTGTGAAACTTTTTTGCCATGCGATTAGGTTCAAGGCAAACAAGACAGCATTTCTGTAGCATAACTGGGGATTTCCTATCATCGTAACTCATTGTTAACAATCCTGACTTGGATGAGGACGATCACAGAATACACAAGCAACTTTTCTTGCAGATGCATTCAAAATTAGAGTGGCAGCAGTAGGTTCATCTTGTTAAACTGGTTTATGGAATTCCTTTAGTTTCATGCCACTTCGATTTTGCTTCATACCAGCAATAGTTTTAAAGTGGATTGTATTATTTAATTTAGGCAAAATACATAAAGTCTGCTTGTCTAGGTTTTATCCCAGTTTTGACTGAAAGACCCTTTTCACGAACAGAATCTAAAAGTCTCTTATCCCATCTTCTCCTCACCATGAACATCAAGAGGACTTTTGATTTTAAGTAACCCTATACTGCAAAATGCTACAGTCACAAACACCTGTACCTTGTCTGGAATTTAAACCCAGACCAAACAGGCAACAGCTTTAGATGCACTTTCCGAATGCATTTACAAAAGAATATTGAAAAATACAAATGTGAAATTTTTATGCACAGACTGTTTAATTTTCACACTACTTAATTAACTCTAAATGCTGCAGAACCTTTAAAAAAAAAAAAAAAAAAGAACTCAAGACTGGAAAGAGTATCTACATGCAAATATATTTGATACACATTCATTTAATGCTTAATCAACAGAAATAATTTACATATGTATAGGAAGAAGCATATCTAAGACATAACATAAAACAATACCAGGGTAAGTAACAAATTCATATCTTTATTACAAGATTTAGTTTGAGCCTTATACCGATTAAATATTAAAATCCATACAAGTATTTTGTCACCATTTGACAGAGACCTTGTAGATTACATAAAGACAAATCATATGTGCATATTACTGACAGACTTCTCAGTAAATATGAAAATGTTACGCAAATGTGATGTTAGAATGCTATTCAAATATTATTAGGGCTCAGCACTACTGCTGCAACCAAATGAGTTCATAATGAGAATAGTGGATCTCCACACTACACAAAAATGGTTTCAATATTTTCAATCTGTGGACACCAGAGCCAAATAGATAGTTGAAAGGTTGTTGCCTCAATGTAATCCTGTATTAAATAACCTGGTGTTGTCAATGGAAGTTAAACATTTGCATTCCATAATTATTCACTATTTTAATGACCAGGGTTTAAAGTTCAGATGCCTGCATGTTATGTCCCAAGATCTATCAGTATGCTATCAGTACCAAAAGCTCAGAAGCATGTTACCATCTGAAAACAGATGTTGGGTCATCCAAATCATCTGCAGTTTTGCCAAACATAAGTCAATGATGATGAAAATGGTTCCATCTGTGATACTCTAATGCTAGTGACCAATGGGTTCAATCAGGTTAGAAAGCACAAACTGGTTCAGAGACAGAGATCCTGTACCTGACAATTAGGCTGTAGATAGCCAACTCTACATAAATTAGCTATAGCAATTGCCTGATGTTTTTGAAGCAAAAATGTGAAATGCTCATCAATTAAAAGATGGCTCTCCTTTAAAATGACTTCAGCTTCTTACCATGCTAATAATGCTATTCACTCAAAAATTCATGTAATCAGAACAACAATGTAACTATACACAGTCGAAATCTTCGAACCTTCAGATTACTACTTCTAATTCACAGCCCATTTTTTTCAGTGGTAAGTATTTCAATAATAAGAAGGTCTGAAAACAAAATCTAAAATGCTTTGGCCTCCAAACCAAACCGCTTCACAGCCAAAGACCTCATACTGATTTAGATTATAATTTTGAGGTACTCTTCTTGTTAGGACACAGATTTCGAAATAATGTGCATGTGTATATATGTGCATATATTTGTCTGTGTATACATACATACCTACATATATACATGGGTACACAAACACATACATCCATACATACATGCAGGCATGTGTACATACATACATTTCTGAATCCCGTCCTGATAACAGAAGAGTACCAATTTTGGTTTACAGTTGGCACATAAGTCAGTGGTCTGTATTTCACTGAATAGCATCACCATATAATATTCATATCCAGAACATTCGCACTGAAAATTACCTGAATTTTTTACTCACCCTGACATAATTTAGTCCTTAATTTCATGCTAAATAATGTATCAGAAAGCGATTAAAAAAAACTCACCTAGCATTCAAAAGTAATACAGTATTATAATCCAAATGATCATAATGAGAATGACTTATTACAACTGCATTGATATGAGGAAGATCATGAATAGAACAAGGAGGATCTCTGTATCGTTTAGGACCAACAACCTGGCTAGGAGAGGCTCGTTCGCTAAATATTGGATCAGTTAAAACATTTAGACCATGCATCTGAACAAGAACTGTAGAATGGCCAATCCAAGTAACACGTATTCCATCCTCTGGAATTGAAAGTTTTGCAAAATTCTGTTTTACAATTGGTAACACTAATTCCAGTTCCTAAAAAGGAAGAAACATCAAAAGGTAAAAATTTGAATGAAAATATGATAGAACAATAGTTTAGAAGATTATTAAAGAACAAACAGTATTAAATAAATATTGTCAGTAAAAGGTTTTTAAAATGTGCTCCTCTATATTATATCATTGTTCACAGAAATAATAAGTATAATAAATATTTGTTATACTCAGAAACATTTTACCACCACAGACACCATAAACTTTACAGCTATCTATCACATTATGAGGAATTCCAGTTATGTCATCTACATGATTTTAGATCAAAAAGAAAACTCTGATTTTAATTTCTAATTAGATATGTTTAAACTACTTGCCATTTGAAATTTTATTCATGACCCTTCTGTCCAGCAGCACGTAATGCAACGAAACGAAATAGCAATAAAGTTGGTTGTTGCAGATTTATGGCTTTAATTTGAGTAATGAATAAATAAAGTAAGCCTTCAAAAAAGTATGATACTTTGGGGTCAAGTTATAAGGTATTTCTCCTACTTCCCTAGCGTGCTTTCGTGGTGTAACGGTAGCACGCCGGGCCGGTATTCCAGACGTCCGTGGTTCGATTCCCGGTGAAGGCGGTTGCATATTTTTCATCTTTTCTGCTTCCAATTAACCTAATGACTCTACAAGTGGCGCCCGAACTAAAAGGGTTGTGGATGATGATTCTCTGCACCCAGAATTTCATGACTAGGTCCCCTAAAACCCTAGTCGTCCTTTAAAAAGGGGAGTATATAAGGTATTTCTCCCCCTTCCCTAGCGTGCCTTCGTGGTGTAACGGTAGCACGCTGGGCCAGTATTCCAGAGGTTCATGGTTTGATTCCCGGTGAAGGCGGTTGCATATTTTTCATCTTTTCTGCTTCCAATTAACCTAATGACTCTACAAAGTGGCAACTTCAAATAAAAATAATGGAAAGCATATTTTTAAGAGGCCTCAGAGCAAAAAGACAATGAGTAAAAAGCTTTTCATTGTGATATTAGTAAAATAAAAACAAAATGTCATCCTCGTACAATCAAAAGTACTTTCTGACTATCCCCAAGGCCAATGGTGGTGTGGTGTATTTAATTATGGCAAAGCACACGAGGGCTATCTGCCTAAAGGGAGGGATGCCTTTGTGGAGGACTTTCTCAGGGAAACTGGCTCGTATACACGTTACACATGGGGAAAACCACGAAAACGCCCATGCAGCCAGCCCGTCCGCGGGACTTGAACCTCGGACCGAACTACCAGTGTTCAGCAACTTTACCGCTCGGCCGCTGGTGGGCCTATCCCCAGGACAAATCAACCAGTTACCAAATTCCACTAAGATGTTTTACCACCAAGAATAGATTAACACTGTTTTAGAAATGTTGGCCCTTAACACTGATCAACATATGAGACAGCAGATTTGTTTTTGTATAGTTTTATTCATAGCCCTTGAAACCTTCATTCCTCTTTAACTCTCAAAAGACAAATTTAACCTTTTTAAAAGGGTTACCAGGCATATCTAACATGTGCACTACTGGTCTACATCCTGATCATAAGTTATCATTGCATAACAAAACAGATGTCAGCATAAACATCAATCAAGACTGATATAGACTGCACACCTCCATTATATGAAGCCTTATAATGTCAGTATGAAAAGCTTTATAAGGCCTGCTCAAAATCTGATGGTCATTCTTCTGTCAAAAATGTAGTCAGATTCAATCCGAGAAATGCTCCTGCTTCATCATGCACATATTATATGATAATTACTCAAACTCAGAACTTTTCTAATTTAAAAAAAATTCTTCTGTTCCATCTTCAGTAAGAAGCATAATGGTCTGGAGTCAATTATTTGGTTATGACAGAGAATGCAATGAGTACCTAATTGAGTACCAATGAGCTTCATCCCAGTTTTGATCAAGAGCAATCCACATGACAGAATCTAAAGGCCTCATACAGGGCCTTCTTCCTATTAACACCTTTCAAGAAGATTTTCATATTAATGCATTTTTAAGTGTCTGCAGAGGTATTGCAGTAACAAATATTTTTTTTTTTTTTTTTTTTTTTTTTTTTTTTTTTTTTTAATATTCAGTTGATTTACATCTGTGCAATTCTCAATAATGACCATTAGACTGGTTGATCTTCTACAAAATCTAATACAATTGTTTTCTTAATAAACCTGTTAAATTTGTTAATTCCCTTATCCCATGTTCTTTGTACTTTTTGACAACATTATTATATTCTCGTATATATGAATGTGTCACCGTTGATTTTTTTTTTTCCTTTAAGCTTAAATAAATTTATTTAAACCAGTAATATGATCAGGTTATGAGCTCAATTTATCACAAAGTAACAATTTACGAACATAAGTTGATTCTTTATCTTCTCAGTTTAAGATTCAGAAAACAGAAGTAAGCATGGCCAGTATAGATGCATCATCTATAAACCAATTGAACAGACAAAATTATTCACAATGGAAATTTCAAATTACTTGTACTCTCAAGGCAAAAAGAAGTATTTTCTGTCTCCAACAGAATTAAGGTAAAGCTAGAAGATGATGATGCAGCAATCCCAAAACAGGAAAAGGATGAAGAAATTGCAATAGGTGTCTGTGATGGAACATTCACAAGTCAGAAAACACTCTAAAACTCCCTACTTGTTATGAACTGAATGTAGTAAACATTGTGACACCTGAGGCGTATAAAGAGGCAATGAACTCTCCTCAAGCAGACAACTGGGAAGAAGCCATAAATGAAAAGTTAAATTCTCTCAATAAAATAAAACATGGGATCTTGTACCTCCACCAGAGATAGATCACATAATTGGATCTAAGAAGGTGTTCAAAGTAAAACATCTTCCTAACAAAAAAAAGTGACAAATACAAAGCAACAGTACCAAAAAGTTCTGTCAAGTGGAGGAAGTGGACTTCAGTGAAACGTTTTCAACAATTACAAAATTTGACAATATACGAGTCCTGTTTGAGAGAGTTTAGTTACAGAGAAAACTGAAAGCCATACAAACTGATATAAAAACTACATTTCTATATGGTGAAATTGAAGAAATATTCATGGAACCTCTTCCAGGTTCAAACTGTGCGAAAAATTTGTCAGCTAAAGAAATCCTTGTATGGACTGAAACAACCATCTAGATGTTGGAACAAGACATTTTCTGCATTCTGAACTAGTTTTCTACATCCGATTCATGCATCTTTAAACAAGAAGGCATTTTTAATTCTGTCTGTGGTGCTTTTATTCTACATGTGGTGTATTTTAAATTCTATAGTGATGCTTTATTGTTTTGTGAAGAACAGGAAATATTATTTGAAATTATGGATGATCTGAGGAAGAAGTTGGAAGCAACAATCTGTGAAATGGGATGTTTTGTTAGAATGCAAATTGATTACAATGCAAATGATCAATTTTCATTCATTCAGAAAGCTATATTAAGCACATTCTGAAACGATTTCAATTAGAAGATCCAAGTCTTAATACTTTACCTGCAGATCCTGGTAAAATCTCATCAACAGAATCCAATCCATTACTAGAAGGAAAAACAGTTCCTTACAGAGAAGCAACTAGGATCACTAATGTTCCTTCCTATCACTGCACATCCAGATATAGCTTTTGCTGTAAATATGGTTAGTAGATTTCAACCCGATTCTGGCCTAGTGCATTGGAATGCTGTAAAATGAATTTTCAAATACCTGAAAGCTACAGCAAACTACGGCATTGATTATTCTCCAGCAGATAATGACACTTGTCATCTTGTTGGAAACTCAAATGCAAACTTCACTAATGACATGGACACAAAAAATCAACTTCCGGCTATATTTTCAAACTTAGCAATTGTTCAGTAACTTGGTGTAGTAAAAAGCAATCAACTGTGTCTACCTTTACCACTGAGACAAGTATACTGCAGTGACAGAAGAATTGTGGTTGCACTAGCTTCTGCAAGATGTGGGTGAAAGTGATATGTGTAAAGAGGGTACAGTTATCTTCATTGATAACCAGAGTGCTATTAAGCTGATCAAGAATCATGTATTTCACAAATACACAAAACATATGGAGGTACACTACCATTTTATTCATGAAAAACTGAAAGATAAATCTGTTATTACAAAGCATGTCAAATCTGGAGAGCAGATATCTTCACAAAAACTCTTCCAAAAGCAAAATTAAAAGGTTAAGAGACTTGCTCAACATAAAAGATAAGACACTCATGTGAACATTTAATAGATTTGCATCAGTTAACATTTTTGATTTTAAGTTTTGCTTTTCATTCAATACTTAGTTTAATTAATAATTTGAGTTTTTCTTGCTTATGTTATTCATCATACTTTTGTTAGCTCTAATGACAACAGAATTGGAGGGAGTGTTAAATCCATAATTCTAACTGCCATATTTTCTTCGTACTTTTTAGCACCACTATTATATTCTCATGTTTATATTCTATGAATGTGTTTCAGATGCATGCACTGCCTGTGGTTTTGTCATTTTCATTTATTTTAAGCTTAAATAAACTTAGTTAAACCAGTAATATGAACAATAACAATTTGTCATTTTGTCAAAACTGCATTACAATAACCTTTCCAAATGCATCAAGTGTATATAGGCAACAACAGCAAATTGCTTTATTAACAGAAAAATATCTGGTTGCAATGACAGTTTTGCGAAAAAAAATTTTCTCTAAAGTTAGGGGGGAAAACACAAAAGCAGTACTTTCAGGGTGGGTAGTTAATCACCACCCAAATCTATGATTTTCTGCCATTTTTATAGTTTTTTTCAAAGCCTCTGGCACAGAAATTTGGTGCCGCAAATCCAAAAACAGATCAACCTCATTTCGGACATCCTGTGCAGAATGCAGGATAGCATCAGCAAGATGTAGCTGTGTTCATTGTGTCCCTTATCAAACAACTTTTGTTTATCATTCGGATTATATTCATCATAGTCAGCAAAATCGAAAACACCCACTTCATTAAAAAATGCTACCTTTTGAATTTATTTCTTCTAGAATCAAAATCTTA